AAGTCAAAACACAATTCACAAACACAGCTAGCTTGTAGGAGAGAAGTGGAACTGAACACTATTCACGAAACCTGGGATGGTGGTGTTGGGAGTGTCAGGGGATGGCAGTGCACCTCGCGGTGGAAGGAGTCTCACTTGTCACATGATGACATTTTATTCATTCTAGAGTATATACAGTGGACCCTCGGTTATCGGCCAACTCGGGTATCAGCAGGTTTTTTGACTTCCGGTAATCGGCCACTATTTCGCTTATCGGCTGTATTGTGAGCGTTCACCCACCTGCCCACCAGCTGCTCAAGAGTTCATGAGTCAGTCTGGCTGTGTCTCTGGGCAAGTGAGGATACTTCTGCTCATTCATCCAAACATCAAGGAAGCTAATGTTGCAAAAGGGAGTTTAGCAGGGAGTGCAGCAGGGAGGCAGGACCCCAATGGAAATAAGTCACTCTGCCTTACTTTTTTGGGTTATCCTAGGTTCTTTACACACATGCTGTAAAGGAGGCAGGGAGTGTAGCAGGGAGTGTAGCATGGAGGGAGTTTAGCAGGGAGGCAGGGAGTGTAGCAGGGAAACAGTGAGTGTGGAAGGGAAGCAGGGAGTGTAGTAAAGAGGCAGGGTGTAGCAGGGAGTGTAGGAGGAAGGCAGAGAGTGTAGCATGGAGGGAGAGAGTGCAGCAGGAGAGGCAGGGAGTGTAGCAGGCAGGCAGGGAGTGTAGCAGGCAGGCAGGGAGTGTAGTAGGGAGACAGGGAGTGTAGGAGGAAGGCAGGGAGTGTAGGAGGAAGGCAGGGAGTGTAGCAGGGAAACAGGGAGTGTGGAAGGGAGGCAGGGAGTGTAGCATGGAGGGAGTGTAGCAGGCAGGCAGGGAGTGTAGTAGGGTGTAGCAGGGAGTGTAGGAGGAAGGCAGAGAGTGTAGCATGGAGGGAGTGTAGCAGACAGGCAGGGAGGGAAGTAACCCCAGAGAGGGCTTTGATACCTAAAGTCCTTATGGAGGGGGATTCCCCTTCCAAACAGTAATCAGTCCTCCCTCTCTCCTCCTCCCCATTTTCCATAAGCCAACAAGAGTCTTCAATAAAGGCATGTAATAGTGATTTAAATGTTCATTTATTTATTTTACTTAGTTTTCATTGTTTTGCATATGTAAAACTATAATTCTTTAAAAAATGTATTTTTTGTTAATATTTTTGGGTGTCTGGAATGGATTAATTGTATTTATATTATTTCTTATGGGAAATATTATTTCAGTTTTAGGCCATTTTGGTTTTAGGCCGACCTTCTGGAATGGATTACAGCGGATAACCGAGGGTCCACTGTATCAGGTTTCATGTTATTTATATTATTTATTATGTCATATTAAATGAATTGTGATAGATAAATAAGCAGCCGAGTTGATATTAGGGTCATATTCATGTTAATGGTACCCCGAGTTTCATACAGCTCCCAACTCGAACAATTATGTAAGTGTATTATTGTAAGTGCTTTTAAAAAGTAAGCATATTTTTGGTGGGTCTGAAATGGACTAATCTAATTTACATTATTCCTTATGGGAACAAATTCATTCAGTAATGGCACTTGAACAGCCTTCTGGAACAAATTCTGTACAAAACTCTGGGTACCACTGTATTCTGTCCTGCCTCCTGAGAGCACGAATTCCACTGGAACGAATTAATGGCATTTCAATTAATTTAACCCTTTCAGGGTCCAAGGCCAAAATCTGAAGTCACGCACCAGTGTCCAAGAAATTTTGAAAAAAAAAAATTATTATTTTTTTCTTACAGAATTAAAGAGCATATTTTTGTGAAGGTAATAAAACAAAAAAAAAATAGAATCTGATCAGTACTTACCGAGATACAGTGCCAAGAAGTTTATAGAAAATGATGTGGTGGTGGCAACATCGACGAATTCCACATACACGTATTATATTATTTTGTTTTAGTTGTTTTTTCTTTTCTTTCCAATTTTTTTCTATTCCTACTAACATTTGGGCCTGAGAGACCAATACTGTATATAATTGATATATATAAACTCACGTATTGAACACAATAACCGCACTAAAGTTATTATCATATTATTGTTTACCACTGTTGTTTATTACAATAAACATGCACAAATATTGTATAATACTAATGTTCTATCATATATTTACATATTTACAATCACTGGACATGGTTTTTAGAATGCTGGAGCTTGTGGAACTCCTTGAAAAAAGGCACCATGCACAGAGGCACCTTACTTTCCTCACACAAAAAACCGAGTGTCTTTGCGTCTTGTTCCGTCGTTTTGTTTGTGCACAGACAATGCATCTCTTCTGAGCAAATTTCTTTTGAGTTGAAGGAAGCTGTATTATGAAATGATCACCTTCTCTCCTCAAACGCTTGGGTATATCGTGATGAATTTGAGGACCATTTTTGTATTGCAGGTGTTGTTACCTGGTACTTCATTATGAGTTGTCTGACAACAGACAAACAAAATTCACCATACGGTGGTCTGTTACCAGTCTTTATTTGGTAAATTTTAAAATGCATTCAGCATTGAATGTCCAGGGAATGGAAGAAAAGTTTCATGTACCACTTGTAACTCTTACGAACACAGTCAACAAAACCAATCTGCATGTCACACTTGTCAACCAAGCGCAGTTTTGTGTATAATCAATCACTGACACTGGTTTTCGAATACGTTCATTAGTCACTCGATCAACTTTGCCACTGTCTTGCATTTCATTACGGTGAATGGTTGTCAACAATGTGACATCTCGTTTGTCATGCCACCGTAATGCCATGTTTGTCATTGGCAGTAAACACTGAAACGTCATCACCACAAAACACCTGCGTTGAGCCGGGTATATGTTTACGATTAGAACGCACTGTGCCACACACATCTGTCTTGTTCACTCGCATGAAATCACTGAGTAATGGGCTTGTGTACCAGTTATCGGTATATAATGTATGGCCCTTACCAAGATAAGGTGCCATCATGTTTCTCACTACGTCACCTGAGATACCCAATAACATCTTGGTATCTTTCAATGTTTTACTACCCGTGCATACAACAATATCCAACACCAGGCCACTGTCACAATCACAGAGTACAGTGGACCCCCGCATAACGATCACCTCCAAATGCGACCAATTATGTAAGTGTATTTATGTAAGTGCGTTTGTATGTGTATGTTTGGGGGTCTAAAATTGACTAATCTACTTCACAATATTCCTTATGGGAAAAAATTCGGTCAGTACTGGCACCTGAACATACTACTGGAATGAAAAAAGTTCGTTAACCGGGGGTCCACTGTACAAACAATTTTATACCAAAGCGGTTCCTCTTGCTCAGTATATACTGCTTGAATGACAGTCTACCTTTGAACAAAATCAAAGACTCGTCAATTACAAGATTCTTGAATGGATAAAAGTATATCCTGAACTTTTGTTTGAGATACATGAAAACATTTCTAATCTTGTATAACCTGTCACTTCTGTCAGGCCTGGTTTTGTCAGAGAAGCGCAACATACGTAACAGTAAGATAAACCTGTTCACTGGTATTATTTCACTGAAGGATGGGGTAGAAATTAGCCGATCTGTGGACCAGTACGCTTTTATATTATGCTTATAGACTGGGGCATAAGCATTATTGTTGCAAAAAGCAAATAATTTCTGCAACAGTTGTCTCTTTCCACCGGTGTAGTCTTGACTGTGGTGATAAGATCGTATTTGCCATGGGGGTACTGAAAATACTTATTACTTTCCTGGCAATTAATTCCATCAATGGCTGGTCAAAGAATAATTCAAAGAATTCCAGTTCATTGGCCGTGGTTCCAAGGGGACAGGTAGGGAGAATTCCACTTTGAGAGTCCCTCAAAGTGGTGAGGCTTGGGAACAAAACTGGGATTTTGCTGCCAATCCCACATACGGTTTTGTGGTGGATACTGGACATCATAGGCTGGTTTTGTACGGTGGTTGTGGTTGTGGCGGGCTGGTGGCTGACTTCCGCTTTGTCCTTGAACGACGAGTCAGCAGCGTGGGTCCCGCGTGGCACGGTGAGTCACGCATGGCGGTGCCACTACCCCCACCAGCACCACTAACACCATCCACATGATGCCTGTGGCCCATCCATGCCAAGTGTAGCCACATCATCCTCACTATCACTACCTAAAACAGGTGTAGGGGCCCCGGGGTGTACTCCGGGATGTACTCCGTCCCCTGGGCACAGCATAGGGGACACTACCCGAGCGCATGCGGCGGTGAACCATACCGACGCTTCACTGGTGAATATGATTCCTCCCCTATCACTACTTGAATGATCGTCGAGCGCAATAAAATACAATTCCACATCAGAATCATCTCATTACTGAAGTCAGAGGCCTGGCCACGCGAAAATTTAGTTTTTTTCTTACGTTTAGGAACACCCGACCGTGAGTCACGAGTGCCCACACCAGAGGTAGAAGGTCGAGGATCGTCGGGTTTTCTGCATATTATCGATATCCTGGTCATTATTTTCGGTCCCCTAACTTTTCAAAGCCGTAGAATTCATCTTCATTCCACTTCCATCAGTGTCAGAAACTATCAGACAGGAAGAGGAGAGTCCCAATTTTCCGGGGAGTGAGAGCTGACTTGCGACGAGGCATGGTGAACAAGGGTGACTGAGCCGGCGTTCCCACAATGCTATGCAGGCGCCTAGATTTTTTGTTTACAGCGCACACCCACGGCGCAGACTCATTCTCTCACATGTAGGCCTATGAGCGCTTTCGCGCTAAATTTGACGGCGCTAGAATTTTGGCATAGATCTACGGTTTGGACACTCACCGTAAAGCCGTAGATCTATGGGACGGACCTTGAAAGGGTTAAATGAGGAAAGCTGACTCAGCATACAAGCAGATCAGGATACGAGCAAGGTCACGGAATGGATTAAACTGTACATACTACACAGCCAAACCATACTCAGCCTTTTTCAGACTGTTACTTCTACTTAAACCTAACAGAGTCTTTAGTGAATTTTCAAAGACATACATACGTTAGATCAAGAATGAGAACCGGGTCGGAGTTCTGTTTATCATTCTCTGAGTTGTAAAAAATTATCTTTCTTGATGAGACAACCACATACTGTCGTCTCCAGCCATGGCGTTTTATATTCTGTTTGTTGGGAATAGACAGCCAACCCTCTAGTCGAGACTCTGAAAACAAAAAAATAATAAAATGCTGAGTAAGAACACTGAAAACAAACTAATATATAATTATACATGTAAGTGTCCCTCCTTTTATGAAGGTGTATTCCAAGCACAAGGCAGCTGTAGTGAGCTCAATCACATCAACACTTAATGAAGCATAATAAGACTTCCATAAATGATGAGCAGATAAATATGCATATGATATTGAACAAATACAACTTTGAGAACTCTTAACCCTTTATGGGGCAGACCGCAAAATATGCGGGTCTGAGCACGTGATTTTCTGCACGTGTCATCCTACTCGTGTCGCGCACCTAGATTCCCGTTCTTTATTTCTGACCAATCACAAGCCTTCCCTGAGTCGCTTCAGCTAAGTGGTGCTGTCCTGTTCTCGCTTCCCATTGGTTGAGAGACCAAGATGTAAACACTTCTGGCTTGGCATCGCCGAGAGTAACATTTTTTCAAATAGTGAGACTCAAATACCCTTGGATTTTATCCTCTACAATGTCAGTAAGTACTGATTGTTATGTCTAGTGCGTAAATGAATAGTTTGGGCATATTTTGATATATATATATAAAGACCATGTGAAGCATAATGTGAGTGTACCATGCAAATGAAAACAGTGCAACAAAAGAGACCTCAAAAAATTTTGTTCCGCCCTTTTAAGGGCAGTTTTCAATTTTGGTAAATAAATATTTATAAAAAATATTTCTATTGCTTATATGAATTTTGTAGTGGTCTGGATGTGTACAGAACATTTTTATTGTCCTTCCAGATCAATGTGAAATTGTTTTATGGTGAGCCCTCCAACACCAAGTCAAAATGTCTGTGTTTTGGAGGAAAGTGACTCAGAACTGGAGGTAGATGACCCAGAATTGCTTGCTTGAAAGTGGTGATGAATACTTGCCACTGGATGCAGAGGTGTCAAGTGATGATGAGGAAGAAATGCCAGCCAGAAAGTGAAAAGTAGTCAAGAAAAAGAGAGGTATTAGGACCGAGGAGATGCCTGTTGAACAAGAACAATTATACCACATCGTCATTTTATTGCTTCATATGCAAAGTAAATCTATGCATAAAGGATAAAAATTGCTTCATACCCTTCCATTCTAGCAATTAGTAATATACAATGACTGTTCTTTCTCAGGGAATTCAGGAATATGGGACTTGAAAATTTTATCCCTTTGCAATGTGTCAATGTAGCAATTTGGTTTCTTTTTATATTTTTCTAATACCTAAAAAAGGTTTGGATACAAGTTCCACTTATATTTTTTATATTGTCTGTTTGTATAATAAATTAAAAAAATAGTTATTTGCTGTTTTATTAACCATTGCAAGTTTGCAACAGCCAAATTTCTACTCCCTAATATGGGCAGGCCATACTAAATTAGGGTTTTGCTGATTAGCAATTGCTTGAAAACTAAACATCAGAATTCCATTTATATGGACTCACTGACCTTATATTGAGTTACTCTATCCACTATAGGGAGTTCAGTTCGAATTTCTAAATTTATGGCCATTTGCCCCAAAAAGGGTTTTAATTTGTGACATTAAAATGTTAGGGAAAAACATCAAAGGTTTCTTTATCTTTGACACTGAACCTGACAAACATGTTGGAATTAACCAAAATAGGCAAATCATAACATATTTCCATGCTTTCTGGTTACAAATTATAATTTTAAACTTTTCTCTTACTACTTGAAATCTCTAAGGCACAGTCAGTATGGCTAATAGAATGTTGCAGTATTTATTTTTTGTTTTCATGGCTATCCATTATTTTAATCATTCATTATGTGTTTTTCTGCATGATTAACACATGTACACACAGTATTATAAATCAATTTAAATGAATATGTGTAACCACCTCAACAACCTGTCAAACAATTTGTCTGCTAGCTGTACTTTCACTTATTCTTCTGGTACTAACCCAATTCATCGATATCGTTGTCTGCGCCACTACTGAGGGAAGCTGTCTCACTGTTGATATTGGCCAGTTTACAGGTAAGAGACTCAATTTCAGAGTCCTTAGAGTCTGCCTCCATTTGAAGTCGAACTCTGGACTGACTCTCCTCATATAACAACGCTTGAAGATCCTGAACTTCCTTCTGATATTTTGACACCATTTGAGAGAACTTGTCACGTTCCTATGGCAATAAAATAGAACACAGTCACAGACCATCAAATAATAGTAATGTTGATACACTTCAGATAATTTACAAAACATAAGCACTAAAAATTAATACAGTACTTCACTAGAAAACTAATCCTTCTCATTAAAAATATTTATCACTGTTCACACTTTTTTTTTTGGCTTTGTACCTTATTTTGCTTGTGAAAATGGGTTCCACTGTTGCATACTACTTAGCTGTGAATTAATATCTTTTTTTAACACATCGGCTGTCTCCCACCAGCGCAAAGTGAATACGAAAGCATTTTACACCTAGTAACTTGTACAGGAGAAGGGGTTACTAGTCCTTTCTTCCCAGCACCACACTTACCTCTTATAAGACGCATAGCTTACGGAAGAAGGATCTTCCTCACTTCCATGTGGAGTAATATATTTTATCATTATTATACAGATGATTTTCATCACATAGGCTTCTAATAAGTAATGCTGGTAATCCAAATCAAATACTTGTTGGAGTTACACCATTAAATGTAAGCAATTCAATGAAAAAAATCAGAAAGAATTTTAGTCACCTAGCATTTATGGTCACACAACTTTCACTTACCATTGTCAGCTCTTGTTGTAATTTACGGCACTCCTTCTCTTTTCTTCTCAGATCATTTGCTGAAGCCTTAGGTTTACGACTAGCTGGAAGATTTTCCTTACGGGCCATGATCTCTGCTAATTTATTGACTGCTTGCATCTTGAGAAGCTGTTCTTGTTTGAGTTGTTTACTTAATTTTTCAAGCTCACCCTTACGATCATTAGTAACTTTCTTGTTTTCTAAAAGGGAAAACAAAATGCAATATTGTATAAATGATGTTCATCTTCTTGTACTGAAGAGCAAGAGGGTGGTTACAAAAGCTGTCTAATTATAATTACCATTACTACAGTAAGTCCTCAACTTACAAACACATTGAGAATCTTCTGTATTGTATATAATATCATAAACCATACCACAGGTGGGATTAGAACCCGCGATCAGAGTCTATTTGCAATCGTGTCATTACGATTTAGTGAGTCGTATAATATCATTACAGGTCTCCCTCAACATTTGCCAGGGTTAGGGGATCAAGAGCCACGCGAATGTTGAAAAATTTTTAATGTTTGGTGCCCCAATATATTGTAGGGAAATATAATACAAACTGCTTCCTTAACTTGTTAAACCATGAACAATCATAAAATACATGAAAACATCGTAAAATATTGTACTATATACATACATATTATGGTTTAATAACACGTATGTTATTAAATACTACTGCCTCAACCACTGCCTCAACCACTGCCTCAACCACTGCCTCAACCACTACCTCAACCACTGCCTCTACCACTGCCTCAACGACTGCAGCGCACTACCTCATATTTTTGTACAATTTCTTCTTCAATTCTATCATGTTTCTCAATTTCTTAACCAAAGGGCTGGCACTAGCAAGTTTCTTTGGGCCCATGATTAACCCTTTGAGGGTCGACAGGCCCTCTCCGAAACTCGTTCTCAGGGTCAGCCAAATTTAAAAAAAAAAAAATTATTTTCTCTTATGAAAAGATAGAGAATCTTTTCCCGATCATAAAGACACCAAAAGTTTGAAATTTGATAGAAAACTTACGGAATTATGCTCTCGCAAAGTTAGCGGTCTCGGCGATGTTTACGCATCGGCGATTTTGCCCACTTTGAGCCCCATTTTCGGCTAATTTCACTGTACTAGTCGACAAAAAACATGAATATTTCGCTAGAACTACTCCATTTTTTCTATCGAATGGGTGCAAGAAACCACTCATTTATGAAATTCAACTATCCAGTACAGTGGTCAGAATTTAGCAATTTTGCCAATTTCACACAAATTTCAAAAGATGCCAATTTCCGAATAGGGTCCAGAATAAACAAGAAAGACATTCCTGGCACTAAAATGACATTTCCTCTGGTCATTAGTCACGTCTCAAGGCCCCTCTTATATTCTTTTGCTTTCCACTTTGAATTTTTATTCTCACAAAAAATAGAAGATTTACTGTTATGCAGACTACTGCATTAGTGTAAGAAATGGTATAAATATTATTGGTGCACTTGTGAAAGAATATTAGACTCACCAGTTGACGTGTATTGCACGCTTGGCACGATTTGTTTACTTTTGAAGTTTGGTAAAAATCGAACATTTCTGCTACTTTGAGCTCAATTTCAAGGCACTTTTCTTTGTAAAACCAGTCAAAATCATCTCAATTTCTGTAATATGTCTTCCATTTTATAAAATGAGATCAAGAAAACTAGAATACAACAATAAATACCATACGAAAATACACTGCAAAGTCGCTGATTTATTAAAAAAAAATGGTAAAAGTTTTTTTTTTCTCATTATGCACTGTGTGCTGCAGGATTTTTTTTAGACTGTGCACACTGACCACATAGACCCATTCTTTCATATGAAGGCCTACCAGCTTTCTCCCACTAGATTTGAGGCCGCTAGAATTTATGAGTACTAGTACGTCAAAAACCCCTACGCTTAAGACGTACTAGTACGACGAAAACCCTCAAAGGGTTAATTATGTAGCAGTCGCACTCAATCTACAAACAACAAACACAATGAATTATTGTGAAATGTTTGGAAAAGCACGGAGGCTAATGCTCACTCCAGCATAAACAAAGCCAAACTGACTCACGATGCCTCCACCACTGCTGCAACCCTCGTATTTTTGTACAATTTCCTTCAATTCTATCATATTATTATTACTATTATTAATAACATGTATTATCATTATTATTATTATTATTAACAACATGTACGTATGTTATTAAATACCACTGCCTCCGCCACTGCCTGTACCACTGCTTCTACCACTGCCTCAACCATTGCCTCAACCACTGCCTGTACCACTGCCTCAACCACTGCAGTCACACTCAATCTACAAGCACCAAACACAATGAATTATTGTGAAATGTTTGGAAGAGCACAGAGGCTAATGCTCACTCCAGCATAAATAAAGCCAAACTGACTCACAATGCCTCCACCACTCCTTCAACCCTCGTATTTTTGTACAATTCCCTTCTTCAATTCTATCGTATTATTCTTATTATTAATAACACGCATTATTATTACTATTAGCACCAGCAGTAGCAGCAGCAGAAATGTTCAATTCTTTGCCATGTTCAAGAGTAAACAAATGATGTCACCGTCTAATACCTGTCCGAATGGCCATTCCAATATGCAGTCATGAATGGGTTGACATTATTTACACTGTAGTTTAATAGCAAAAATAGCAAATAATGAACAAACAAAATTCACCACACTGTGTGGCAGGCGGGCTGGCTGCCAGTTGCGGGAATCGGAGGGAGGGTAGTAGGGACGCGCGGGTGGCGGGAAACTTAAATGTGATTTCGCGGCTGGAAATTCGCGAATGTGTGACGCCAACAAAAGTTGAAAACACAAATGTTGAGAAAGACCTGTATATTATTATACACAATACAGAAGGTCCCCAATGTGTTCTTTAGTTGAAAACTTCCTGTATTATGAATATTACACAATTCAGGAAGTCCATAATGTGTAAGTTGAGGACTTACTGTACTCTGAATCCTGTACGAAAACAATAATTGATAAAAGTAAACAAATCACAGAATGGGTGGGACTTAAACCCAAGGCAGGTGAGATGATAAAGTAAAGGAATACTCTTTAGCTTGTGATAATTTCAGACTCATTAAAAGGTTATAATGCACTCACAATGATCCCACGACTCTTGAAGAATCTAAATTAACAGAGATATGATCAGGTCTCTTATTGACTTATATTACACATAATTGATTTATAGACCCGAGCAAGAAGTCTAGGCAATGAAAAATTGGATATTAGATAAGATGGACATGTTTGTGGCTGGAGCCATGAAAGATGAGAGCCACAGAACAGACGAGGACAAAAAGGTAAAAAGTTTATCTATGGAGGCAAAAAATGGGAATGTATCAGAGTATAGCAATACCAACATTTTTATATGGGTGTGAAGAGGAGGATGGAGGTAGTGCAGAAGTCATGTTTGAAAGCAATATTTTTTTTTTTTAACACAATGGCCATCTCCCACCAAGACCCCCAAAAAATTCATTCACACAATCATTGTCTTTGCAGAGGTGCTCAGACATGACATTTTAGAGGTCACTCCAAACAGCCAATATCCCAACCCCCTGCTTACAGTGCAGGCATTGTACCTCCCACCTCCAGGACTCAAGTTCGACTAACCAATTTCCCTGAATCCCTTCACAAAATATTACCCTGCTCACACTCCAACAGTTTGCCAGGTCCCAAAAACCATTCGTCTCTATTCACTCCTATCTAGCATGCTCACACGTCTGCTGCATGTCCAAGTCCCTTGCACACAAAACCTCTTTTACCCCCCTCCCTCCATCCTTTCCTAGGATGACCCCTACCCCTCCTCCCCTCCACTACAGATTTATAAACCCTCTAAGTCATCCTATTTTGTTCCATCTTCTCTAAATGAGCAAACCACATCAACAGCCCCACTTCACCCCTCTGACTAATACTTTTAGTAACTCCATACCTCTTCCTAATTTCTACACTATGAATTCTCTGCATAATATTTACACCACACATTGCCCCTAGACATACATCTCCACTGCCTCCAGCCTCATTCTTGCTGCAGCATTCACAACCCATGCTTCACACCCATATGTAAGTGTTGGTACCACTATATTCTTGTACATTCCCTGCTTTGCCTCCAAGGATAACATTGTCTCCACAGATACCTTAATGCAATATGTGGTGTGAATATTATAGAGAGAATCTGGAGAGCATGGAGGTTAGAAGCTGGTGTGGGGTTACTAAAAATGTATTTCAGAGAACTGAGAAGTGTGTTAAAGTGGTTAGGACATTTAGAGAGGGTGGAGCAGAATAAGATGACTAAGAGGTTAATAAATCTGGGATGTAAGGAAGGGTAAGGGTCATTCCTGAAAAGACTGGAGGGAGCAGATGAAGGAAATTTTAAGTGCTAGGGGACTGAATATCCAACAGGCTGGTGTATATATGTTAGACTGGTTTTGATAGACAAGTGATTTTAATGGTTTGACATGCTGTTGGAAATGTGAGCAGATAAACATTTATGAAGAGATTCAGTGAATAAGTTAGCCAGACTTGAGTCCTAGAGGTGGGACGTACAGTGCCTGCACTCTAGAGGGAGGAGGAGGACGTAGCAGTTCATAGGGTCATCTTAACTGAAAAATCAATGAACTTCTAGCACGACAGCAATTCACTGAATGATGGTGAATGTGTTTCCTTTTAGAGTCACCCTACTTTGTTGCAAGATGTCTGACATGTTAAAAAAGAAATTAAGAAAATATCAGCAGTGTATGATAGTCTCGCAAACATATAAATGGCCTTTATAAAACAGAACAATGAATCTTTCAAATTGTTATTTGCCACATACACAACAGTGACTGAAGAAAGAATATAAAGGAACAATACAGTGACTGGAACATTACACAAATAACTGAAGATCATTCAGCACTTGTGTGAAGCCCACAATGAGTGAAACATACAACAAACTTGGAAAAGTAAAGAGGCTCACCTCAGATTGTTAGTGCAATTAAGAATCAAAAGCTACTTGCTAAAAACTACAAACTTGACATCAAAACTAGAAATAATGTAAATCAAGATGAGACATGATCTTGGCAAACAAAATACACCTTGGTATGAACAAGGTGTCAAAAATAACTGCTAGCCAGAGAAAGGTCCAAGACAAGGGATCACTGATACAAGTTGTACACCCAAATGAGCCACTGGATATTACAAAACACTTTTCAAGTATGACAGTGGAGAAGAGGAATGAACTAGGGAATGTCATAGTAGAAGCTGAAAACATACTAGGGTTTATACTTAAATGCAACAAAGCTTGAATGCTTCAAGTGATCAAACGGTATGAAGAGTCCAAGAGTAAGAGCTTAATATTGACAAACTAGGCTAAATGCATACATACTTTTTGTGATTAAGCCTTGTTCATGTACTCATCTATATACATTCAGACAGATGAGTACTTATAGGTGAGTACAAGTAAAATGCTTAATCACAAAGCAAAAACATTAGGAAAAATGTTAAAGCATGTGATTTACAATTAAGCAAAATACAAACTTTATGAAAGTACAAAGTTAATTTGTTTGTTATTCAAATGTCAAACTTGCTTTTTTTCTTTTCTTTACCTGACAAGCCTCACTACTGCATAATCATAAATCTAACATATAATGCATGAATGCTAAATGAATTATGTGCTATTAACATTTCTTGAGTTGCAAAGAGAGTGGGATTCCAGGAGCATGCATATATCAATGTGGCTGATACCAAAAGACTAAAAATAATACGTATATTTTTTTCAACACGATGGCTGTCTTCTGCCAAACCAGGGTGACCCAAAAAAGAAATACTTTCACCATCATTCACACATAATCACTGTCTTTGCAGAGGTGTGCAGATACGACAGTTCAGATGTCACTCCAAACAGCAAATATCCCAAACCCCTCCTTTAAAGGACCAACCTTCCTCAAGACTCTGGACTTGAGCATTAAGTGCCTCCTTCTCCTGCTTGAGACTCTCCACTGATCTGCTCAGTTCTTGTTCCCGTTCTTTCACCTGAAACACAATGAACATAAACATATGTTTGGATATCTGTAAGAGCTGATGTGCAACAGTAATACATTAAAACAATTAACACTTTTTGAAATTCCACAAAACGGTATGTCTGCCAAGGTTGAAAACCTCTTATCATCAGTTTAAATTATAGTACAGTGCAGCTGAACCTAGATTTTCGTGATTAATTCGTTCCAGAAAGTTTGACGAAAACCGAACTGTACGAAAACTGAAGCCATATTTCCCATGAGCAACAATGTAAATCCAATTAATCCGTTCCAGACACCCAAAAATATTAACAAAAAATACATTTTATAGAGAATAACTATAGTTTTACATACAGAAAAAATGATAAATAAATATAAATGACTAATGAAATGGATAAATGAACATTTAACATCACTTTTACCTTTATTGAAGACTCTTGTTGGCATATGGAAGACAACGAGGAGGGGAGGTTATTGTTTGGAAGGGAAATCCCCCTCCACAAAGACTTCAAGTATCAAGGCCCCACCTGGGGTTACTTCCCTTCTTTGTCTTTTAGTGGCACTAGGACCAGCTTGAATGTCAATGGACCCCTTTCGCAAAAAAAATCTGTCCAGAGAGGTCTGTTACTGGCGTCTCTTTACTTGCCTAAAATGGGACAAGGCATTGTCATTGAACATGTTGCAGACACGGCTTGCAATAGCTTTGTTAGGGTGATATTTCTCTACAAAACTTTGCAACTCATTCCACTTTGCACACATGTCCTTAATCACCGAAGAAGGAACATTCTCACAATCCTCACTCAACGAGAAACAAAGCCAGACTGAGTCGGAATGCGCGGGATGCTTTGTGTGGGCGCAGGCGGGCAGACGCGTTTGGTACGGCAGACCATTGTTAACTCCACAAAAACCAAGCGGATGTATGAAAACTGGGACAAAATTTTGACAAAAAAAGTTGTCGATAACCGAATCCTATGAAAACCAGGGCATACAAAAACAGAGATTCCACTGTATTAGAAAAACTAAATTTGATCATTTTTTTTTTTTTAAGGCATCAACCGTCTAAAAGGCAGGGTGACCCAAAAAAGAAACACTTGCACCATCATTCAACACTTTTGCCAACATTCACAAAATATCACTGCCTTTGCAGAGGTACCCAGATATCACAGTTTAGATGTCACTCCAAATATATACAGTGGACCCTTGGTTATCGGCCGTAATCTGTTCCAGAAGCTCAGCCTAAAACCGAATTGGCTGAAAACTGAAATATTTCCCATAAGAATTAATGTAATTACAATTAATCCATTCCAAACAAAAATATTCACCAAAAAATAATTTTTTTAACAATTAAATCAGTATTACATATCTTTATTGAAGATAAATGCTGGCTTCTGGAATGCCTGCTACACTTACTGCATGACTGCTACACTTCCTGCATGCCTGCTATACTTCCTGCATGCCTGCTACACTCCCTGAATGCCTGCTACACTCCCAGCATGCCTACTACACTTCCTGCATGCCTGCTACACTTCCTGCTTGCCTGCTACACTCCCTGCATGCCTGCTACACTTCCAGCATGCCTGCTACACTCCCTGCATGCCTGCTACACTCCCTGCATGCCTGCTACACTCCCTGCATGCCTGCTACACTCCCTGCATGCCTGCTACACTCCCTGCATGCCTGCTACACTCCCTGCATGCCTGCTACACTCCCAGCATGCCTACTACACTTCCTGCATGCCTGCTACACTCCCTGCATGCCTGCTACATTCCCTGCATGCCTGCTACACTTCCTGGATGCCTGCTACACTCCCTGCATGCCTGCTACACTCCCTGCATGCCTGCTACACTCCCTGCATGCCTGTTTCACTCTCTGCTACACTCTCTGCATGCCTGTTTCACTCTCGGCTACACTCTCTGCATGCCTGTTTCACTCTCTGCTACACTCTCTGCATGCCTGTTTCACTCTCTGCTACACTCTCTGCATGCCTGCTACACTCCCTGCATGCCTGCTACACTTCGTGCTTAAAATCCATGGTGTTTCCCACTTTCTTTACCACAGGAACTTTACTAGAAAATTTCTTTGGAGCCATGGTTAGTTATTTTGCAGTTGCACTGCAAAAAAAAACCCACAAAAAGCAATGAAAACAAGCAAAATGTTTGGATGTATGAGCAGAATCTTCCTCACACACTAAAAGACACAGCCAAACTGACGCACAAGCAGCCCCAGCTGGCGGACGGACAAGTCTGAAACGGCCCATCATCGAAATAATGGCTGATCACCGGGAGCCAAAAAATCGGCCGATCACCAAGTTGGCCTATAACAGGAACAACCGATAACTGAGGGTCCACTGTACAGTAATTATTATTCCCAAAGACATAGCTTAGTTATTCCTAACTAGACTTCAAACTTTTTAACAGAAAAAACATTTAATTATTAAAATTTACTGTATTGTACAGGACTCTCAATTATATTCTTCATAACCACTCTATGTCAATTTAAATAGAAGAGCTTTCTTGCATAGTATAAGCTGCAAAATAAAAATAAAAATTTAAAATCATAAAACTAACCGCACTAAGAGCACTATCCTTTTCTGTGATGTCAGCCGTATGTCTGGAAACAAGATCACTAATCTCCAATTCTTTAACGGTCTTCTCTTTCTCTAGTTCTGCTACAGTCTCTTCTGCAATAGAACGTGCAAGAGCCTCCGAGTCAGCTCGTCCTACAGCCAGTTGCAGTTGCTGAGTAAGGCTTGTGCGCTCCTCCTCCAATTCCATTGCTTGTCGACATTTGTCATCAGCCTCTTCACGTAGCTCGCGTACCTGAGTTTTGTAAAGTGTCTGAAAAAATTAAAAGCAATGAGCAAAACTTTTCATACAGTACATGGTAAATTTAAAAAATTATTCTCTTATAAAAATTCTATTACAAAGTATAGTACGAAATCAATTAACACCAACTTTTAACACTTTTTTGACATAACAGACAAAAAAAAATGCAGCATATTTTCTACGAGTATGCCACATTTATGCAGCATGGAATAAATTTAGAGGAAAATTGAAAAAAAGGCAGTAAACACAAAGGCTAATAATATGGCTGACTATAATGTAATACAGAAAACTTCTTTATTTTTTGAGTCTTGACAAATTACATAGCTTTAAAAAGAATTTGGTTGCCATGTTTTGGGGTCTGAGGAATGTAACCCTATTTCTCCTTTATGTTTGTCAGTTCATTTTACATTATTTTTTAATTATATGACATTTTTAGGAAGGTAACTACCAAATTAACTGACAGTCAACTGTACTGTAAATAATTTTTTTTTCATTAACATACTGGCCATCTCCCACCGAGGGAGGGAGACCCAAATAAGAGGAAACTCCTTCATTATCACCATCTGGCCAGAGACGTGCTGACATTACAGCTCAGATTCCCTTCCAAACTGCAATAACCCCACCCCTCCTTTAAAGTGCAGAAACTACACTTCCCATCTTCAGGACTCAAATCTAGCTAACTAGTTCCTATGAAATCCTTCATAAATATTACCTTGTTCACACTCCAAAATCACAGCAAGTCATTAAAACCATTTGCCTACACTCACTATCTAACACAACACACACACACACATGCCTGTTGGATGTCAAAGTCCCTCACATACAAAACCTCATTTACACCCTCCCTCCAATCTTTTCTAGGATGACCCCTACCCCGCCTTCCTTCCGCTCAAAGTCAACCTATTTTGCTCTATCCTTTCTAAAAGTCCAAACCACCTCAATAACCCCTCCTCATCCCTCTGGATAATACCCCAGACCTCCTCCTGATCTCTTAACTACAAATTTTCTGCAGTATATTCACACCAAACATTGCCCTCAGACATGACATCTCCACTGCTTCCAGCCTCTCACTGCAACATTTAAAACCCATGCTCCACAACCATATAAGAATGTTGGTCCCACTATACTCTGATACATTCCTCTTTTTTTGCCTCCGCAAATGCCTCAATGTATCAAACACTTTTTGTCCCTCATCAATTCTATAGTTCATCTCATCCCTCTTTCGTAGACCTGTTCAATGACAAATCTACTCCTAAGTATCTAAATGTGTTCACTTCCTCCATACTCTTCCTTCCAATCTGATATCCAATCTTTCATTACCTAAATTTTTTGTTATTGTCTTCACCTTGCTTTTAATAAACACCCTCTTAAATTTGTCCACCAGCCTTTGCAACTTCTCTCCAAGCTCTCCCAAAAGCAGTGTCCATTGGCAAAAAGCAACTGTGTCAACTTCTACTTTGAATTAAATTTTTTATCTTTTAATCCCATACCTCTCCCAACACCCTATCAGTTATGGTGACATCACCCATCTCTGTTTAAGACCTACTTTTATTGGAAAATAATTTATGTAATAAATTTAATTCTTTATTTCTTACTATCATTACTCTTGATTTCTATTTCTTATTAGTCCTCTAAAATATTTCTTTTTATTTCCAAGTTTTAATGGCCACCCACCTAACTAATAAATTTTGTATTTTTTGAGCTAATCAACAAATAATACTCCATCACATTACACAAACAACAACCAAAAGGAATAACATCCTACTGAGAAATACTGTTCTGCTTCAAGTGTGTCTTGCAGCTCCCTCATCTGCATGTCATCAACTGATTTTTGTGTCTTGAGTTTGTGCAGTTCTTCCTCTATGCTAGACCGTGCCTCTTTGGCTTCTTCTAAATCTCGAGCGAGTTGTTTTTCTCTGGTACGTAAGAGTGCAACTTCGGATGCCTGAGCTTGAAGTTCTGCAACAATGCTTGATCTCTTCTCAGTCTCTGTCTCCAACTGCTTCTGGAGAACCTTGACCTATAGAGAATGAACTAGGTTACAAGACGTGCTTATGGTAACACTGAAATAAAAGGTACGATAAAATTTAAATAAAAAACTTACCATAAATGATGTAAATCATAAATTTTTTTTAGAACTGAAGTGATATTACCCAACTACATGAGAAGACCAGAAAAATTATACTATGGCAAAACAAGAGATTTAGTACAGAATTAAGAGGAAAGTGGATGGAAAAAACAAACCTGCAATAACAAAGTGCATATATGAAGAGAATTAGAACATACAAAAAAGGAATGTAACACATGATATAAATGAATAAGTACAGGTATAAAAAAAAAATATAAAAGGAAAACTATATAAATATTTACAGAGAACAAAAACAGTAGTTTTCAAAACTACTTATTAGTGTAAACTGATATATGAGTATATGAACTTATTTACCTTTTCACATTCTTGGCGGTGCTCTCCCTCCAGTTTGTGAAGCTGTTGCTGCAGCTGGCGGTAATCAACACTCAACATAGAGTTTTGACGCTCCTTCTCCTGACTAGATGCCTCTGCCTGTTGGCGTTTCTGTTTTTCTGCATTAAGACGTTCCTGCAAGGCTGTAAAATACACATATCTGTCAATTCCTTGAACTATTTAGCTTACAATTAATTCCATGACTATATGTATTTTTTAATTAGGGATACGTACAAAATTTACGTTATCAAATTTTCAAATTAGCCTTCATGACAGGACAAGGACTTAAAATTGACGAGAATAAAAAAAAAATCGTTGAGGACCTTAAAAACCTTATATGTAAAGGAGTCCCACCTGCTAAAGCTTGAGCACTGGACTGGTGGTTGTGTGTAGGGGCAGCATTATTAGCCTCTCGCAAAGCTCTTGCCTCCTGCTCGTAACGGCTTGTCATGCCCCTTAACTCTAACTCCAGTGAGTTTCTATCTTTTTCCAGCTGTACAAGACGCTCTGAAACATTCTCAGCTTCTTTACGAGCAATTGTTTCTCTCTCGAAAGCACTATCAAGCTGTAGAAATAAATTTAATGATCATGGCAAGCCAGGGGGTTTTGAACTTTAGAGGTAAGCATGAGTGACCTCATTTTACACAATTTCAACAAATTATAATTTAAATGCAGTCCCGAAAACAAACACTGTAGGTACTGTCTGTTCATTAATCATGTCCCCAGGCCTTTCCTATATAACACTTGCTCTCCATTTTAAATGTATCATTACACACCAAAAATCAACATTTTCCTTATTCCTCAACTAATAAACCATAATCAAGAATGCTTTATCTAGATTCTGGCAGCCCCAGTAAATGAAACAGATCTACTTAAACCCTATAAAAGAGACTGGAAAGGTAGGGTAAGCCCCTACCCTTCCCCAGGAAAATTGCCCAAAATCAATCACTTCCGCCACTTTGAGGCCTATTTCATGCCACGTCTGGTCTTAAACCAACTGAGCGCTCCATTGCACTAGTTTGTTTTCTAGTCTATTGGCACAAAGAAATAGCTAACAAGGAAAACCACCCAAAAGCTGCTATTTTAACCCAACAGCAAGATCTGAGGTCAGTTGTTCACATTGCGCTCTGCATGGAGCAGAATTTTAAAGAATTTCAAGTACCACTAAAAATGCTTGTCTAAATGTGCAAAATTGTAGGAACATTCTAATATAATACAGGAAAAGATAATACTGTACTTGCAAGACATTAAATTATCTAAAAGAATGAGATTAAAATTGTCCCTGTGATACAGATAACACAGTATAAAAAGCAAATAAGGAATCCATACAATGGGTGCTATACTAATTTGTTTTAGTTACACTGTATGCAAATGAAACAGCAAAAGACATACCTTAGACTGTAATGCTTGTATTTTGGCATCAGCTTGTGACAGAAGGTCAACCTGGTGATTTTTATGTGCTCTTTCCTGGTCCAGTTGTGTTTGTAGATTAACTAAGTCTCGTTCTAAGGTGTCCCGTACAGATTGAACTGCTGATACTTTTTCCATGTACTCTGTTACTGATGTTTCTTTTCGCTGGTTTATAACAGTCAATTCAGCATTTTGTTTGCGAAGCCGTGTGCTATTGTCAGATTCCACTTTTAATTTATCTTGAACTTCTTTAAGCTGTTGAAAAGTATTTTGAATAATTCATCATATAACTTAAAAAATATCAGAAGTAATTAAACAGAACTATGGTATTATCATTCCCCAATAATAATTAAAAAGTTCTGAGCTCTTATGAAAACACTACCTCTAGCAAAATTACACATATCACAGCATTAAAAAAATCACTAAAATTGAAATAGCAACTGCTGTTCTGCTAATTATTAAAATTCCAACAATACAAGGAAATACACAATTTAAACCTGCTTTTCCAAAGAATTAAGCTTGTCATGGGCATGTTGAGCAGAGACAATATCTCGTGTTCGCTTGTTCTGCTCATCTTCAAGCTTCTTCTTGACCTCTTGGTAGAGACCATCTAACTTGCGTCTGCCTTCAATCTCATTGTCTGCCTGACATGGTGTGAAAATAACAAATATTAAATTGGACACCCTCATTTTAAACTTTTAAGTCATAAAGCAAAGAACAGATCAAACATACAGCAAATAAAAGCTTTAAGAAGGTTGATCTTGATGCACTATAATAATGTTAGTATTTTCTTACAAAGAATGCCAGCCAGATATTGTATACTGAACAGACAGCTAAGGAATTAGATACAAAAGAAGAATACAAGTCACAATACTGTGATGGGAACAATCCACAACTATCCCATAGATTGAAGACGAACATCATGGCTTATTTATGAATTTTATTTAAATACATCTGTTAGGTAATGCTGTACACGTGTTAGGATTCAAAGTTATGTAGTGAGCCAATATTACTCTTAAAAACTATGTACATAATGTATTTTTTGTAAACAAATAATTTGAATAAATGATAAAATTAAAGAAAAATATATTATTACTTAAGAACCAATCAACTTTCCATCGCAATTTTCAACCGTATAAAAATTGAAATGGAAAGTTGATCAGTTGTACAAATACAGACAGTTTGGGAGAAAATAATTCACGGGCCAAAACTAAATGTGCAATACTGTACAGTGGACCCCCGCATAACGATCACCTCCGAATGCGACCAATTATGTAAGTGTATTTAAGTAAGTGCGTTTGCACGTGTATGTTTGGGGGTCTGAAATGGACTAATCTACTTCACAATATTCCTTATGGGAACAAATTCGGTCAGTACTGGCACCTGAACATACTTCTGGAGTGAAAAAATATCGTTAACCGGGGGTCCACTGTATTATTAAATACAATAAGATTAACACCATCACAAATAACTTGTACTTAGGAAACTGAAGCTTATGACAAAGTTTCGGTTGAACCAAAACGTCACCATAAGTTTCAGTTTCTTAAGCGAGCCTTATTTGTGTATTGTTACAGCCATAATATTGTGACTTTTTATTCTTTATTAACACTATCAATTCTGAAATATGGGCACTCAGCCCATTTATTGTTAAAAATACTATGGGAGTGCTGAGAAACATCACAGAAATGGATTGTTTAAATTCAGCCTACAAATATCTAAATCTGTCCACCAGTTAACTCTTTGAGGGTTGAGAGGCCTTCTCCCAAACTCGTTCTCAGGGTCGAAAATTTTTCGGGGGGAGAAAAAAAAAAAAAATTTTCTTATGAAATGATAGAGAATCAGTTTCCTATCATAATGACACCAAAAGTATGAAATTTGATGGAAAACTTATGGAATTATGTTCTTGCGAAGTTAGCAGTCTTGAAGATATTTGGGTAGGGGTCGTTTTGAAAAGGACCTGCCATGTAAGGGCCAGTAGGCTTTCTGAAGTGTTCCTCCATTCTTATGTTCTTATGACCCTGGCTGCAATGATGTACTGTACTTGCATGTGACCGACCCTCAAAGGGTTAATATTGTAGCTCTAAGTAAGACCATAGTAATAAGTTACTATAATAGCACACAAAATAATATGAAATAAGATTTCCAATCATTTTAGCTCTTATTTCTTTGTAATTTTAAACTGGGCATGATCTAATGGTAAATAATAATGCCTTCATGTTTATAGTTTTAGGCAGTCATAGACTGCCAAGTTTCTACACCACACTATATAAAAGCTATAATCACACAAGGCAAAGAAGGGAATGTATGAAAGTATAGTAGTACCAACACTCTTATATGGGTGTGAAGCTTGGGTGGTAAATGCAGCAGCGAGGAGACGGTTGGAGGCAGTGGAGATGTCCTGTTTAAGGGCAATGTGTGGTGTAAATATTATGCAGAAAATTTGGAGTGTGGAAATTAGGAAAAGGTGTGGAGTTAATAAAAGTATTAGTCAGAGGGCAGAAGAGGAGTTGTTGAGGTGGTTTGGTCGTTTAGAGAGAATGGATCAAAGTAGAATGACATGGAAAGCATATAAATCTATAGGGGAAGGAAGGCGAGGTAGGGGTCGTCCTCGAAAGGGTTGGAGAGAGGGGGTAAAGGAGGTTTTGTGGGCAAGGGGCTTGGACTTCCAGCAAGCGTGCGTGAGCGTGTTAGATAGGAGTGAATGGAGACGAAAGGTACTTGGGACCTGAGATCTGTTGGAGTGTGAGCAGGGTAATATTTAGTGAAGGGATTCAGGCCTTAGACAAGGATGTGTGATGTCACCGTGGTTGTTTAATATATTTATAGATGTGAGGGTCTTGGCAAGAGGCGTGGAGTTAAAAGATAAAGAATCACACATAAAGTGGGAGTTGTCACAGTTGCTCTTTGCTGATGACACTGTGCTCTTGGGAGATTCTGAAGAGAAGTTGCAGAGATTGGTGGATGAATTTGGTAGGGTGTGCAAAAAAAGAAAATTGAAAGTGAATACAGGAAAGAGTAAGGTTATGAGGATAACAAAAAGATTAGGTGATGAAAGATTGGATATCAGATTGGAGGGAGAGAGTATGGAGGAGGTGAATGTATTCAGATATTTGGGAGTGACATGTCAGCGGATGGGTCTATGAAAGATGAGGTGAATCATAGAAATTGATGAGGGGAAAAGGGTGAGTGGTGCACTTAGGAGTCTGTGGAGACAAAGAACTTTGTCCTTGGAGGCAAAGAGGGGAATGTATGAGAGTAGTTTTTACCAACGCTCTTATATGGGTGTGAAGCATGGGTGATGAATGTTGCAGCAGGAGAAGGCTGGAGGCAGTGGAGATGTCATGTCTGAGAGCAATGTGTGGTGTGAATATAATGCAGAGAATTCATAGTTTGGAAGTTAGGAGGAGGTGTGGGATTACCAAAACTGTTGTCCAGGGGCGAGGAAGGGTTGTTGAGGGGGTTTGGGACATGTGGAAAAAGGGAGCAAAAGAATAACTTCAAGAGTGTATCAGTCTGTAGTGAAGGAACGGGTAGGGGGGGCCTAGGAAAGGTTGGAGGGGGGGGGTAAAGGAGGTTTTTGGTGCGAGGGGCTTGGTTTTCCCAGGCAGCGTGAGGGTTTGATAGGAGTGAAGGAGACAAATGGTTTTAAAAACTTCGTGCTGTTTGGGGTGTGAGCAAAGTAACATTTTGAAGGGGTTTAGGGGGAAAACCCGGCAGGCCGGACTGATCCCCGGGGATGGGGAAATAAGTGCCTGCATCGAAGGAGGGGTGTTAATGTTGCGTTTAAAAAACTGTAGTGTAAAACACCCTCTGGCAAGACGGATGGAGGAATGAGGTGAAAGTTTTTTTTTTTCGGGCCACCCTGCCTTGTGGGAAACGGGCCCTGTGTAATAATAAAAAAAAAAAATTTAGGGAAACCGGGTTTTTTCATATATCGGACTTGAGTCCGGGGAAAAGGGGGGTACAATGCCGCATTTAAAGGAGGGGTTTGGATATTGGCAGCTTGGAGGGATATGTTGTGTATCTTTATATGTGTATGCTTCTAAACTGTGTAGTCTGTGCACCTCTGCAAAAACAGTGATAATGTGCGAGTGTGGTGAAAGTGTTGAATAATGATGAAAGTATTTTCTTTTTGGGGATTTTCTTTCTTTTTTGGGTCACCCTGCCTCGGTGGGAGACGGCCGACTTGTTGAAAAAAAAAAAAAATCACACTATATTTGGTGATAGTGATAGTGACAGTGTGAATGATGGTGAAAGTGTTTCTTGCCTTGGTGGGACATGGCCAGCATGTAAAAAAAAAAAAAAAAAAATTGGTGCTATGCAATAACTTAAGTGTCAACATGACATATTATCAAGAAATGCTGTAAACTGAATACCATATAAATTTAGTGTGATTTTCCACTTGCAATTACCTATTTGTAGCTACATAAGCAGAGCTGAGCTCATGGTACTCAGTTTTCAGTGTTCAGTTTTCAGCAGTTGTAGCATTTATTCCTTACTCCTGTAAACCATTCCATTTATCTAATCACTCTGTGTCCATAGAAAAACTTTCTGGTCTCCTTTCAGAAACTTTCTTTCATTTGTAATCACGGTCTTTTGTTTGTACTCATGGCCTTTTGTTTTGCCAGTTGATGTCAGCAAGCCTTCCTTATGAATTATTTTTTATCATTATATTAACCCTTAAACTGTTCAAACGTAGATCCACATTTGTACCGCTAGCGCTCCAAACGTAGATCTACGTTTCATTTTTCCCGCCTCCAAATTTGGCATGACTGGCCTGAGATGCCTGGTCAATATAGAATGGGCCTTAACACTCGGTGTGTGCAGTATTAAAACAATCTGGGACCACTTACTACCTTGTGGAGCACAAGTTCAATTGAGTGCCAGCTAGAGCAAATAGCATGCCAAACACCAGAGATTCACTGATGTCATGTTGTATTAGCACTCCCCTTTTAAGAGGAAAGTGATGGATGTGGCCATAAGTAGTCAAGGAAATATCAAAAACCTCAATAATAACCCATGTGTAACATTTGTGCAACATCCTTTCATTTTTGATACCACTATCTGTCTATATCTCTGTCTATCTCTTGTCTCTCACATGTACACATAATTACAATTATAGTGTAAATTACCTAGGATAACCCAAAAATTCCAGGCAAAGTGCTATACAGTGCTTGTAGATATAAGACATAATAAGCATGACTGACAAGTAATACGCATTGTCACTTCTACATACGTCATGTGTAATACCTGTTGGTTTATGAGCCGCTCTCTGAGACTCAGTGACAAGCAGACGGAAAGACACACACACACACAGGCAGACAGAAAGACTGAGACATGCAGGCAGACAAAGACAGACACACACAGGCAGACAAAGACAGATAAGCAGAGCTAAACGGATAGACAGACACAGACAGACAAACAGACATACATGTTTGTCTGTAACAGTGAAAACAAATAGATCCAGGGTTCCCTGCAGCAGTGCACTATCATCGTGTCACTCCACTGCTTACCCTGTCAGCAGTTTTGTGATACTAGTCATAAACACCATGCTTCAAGAAGTTTCATATATACTCCAGCATGTCTAAAACACTGCTAAGACAAATAAATACTTCGTATGTATTTCTAGACAATAATAAATGACCAAGGCAGGCGAAAATATTCACCTGTTGGCGAGATTGTGACTATCTGAGTACTATTTCAGTACTTAATATTAGTGTCAGAATTAAGATTGGCTATGAAATCACAAGAACTATTTTTGTTTTTCAACACTTCAGTCGTCTCCCACCGAGGCAGGGTGACCCAAAAAGAAAATCCCCCAAAAGAAAATACTTTCATCATCATTCAACACATTCACCTCACTCATACATAATCACTGTCTTTGCAGAGGCGCTCAGATACAACAGTTCAGAAGTCCCTCCAAACTGCCAATATCCCAAACACTTCCTTCAATGTGCAGGCAATGTACTTCCCATTTCCAGTACTCAAGTCTGGCTAACCGGTTTCCCTGAATCCCTTCACAAAATATTACCCTGCTCACACTCCAACAGCTCGTCAGGTCCCACAAACGTTTCGTCTCCATTCACTCCTATCTAACATGCTCACACATGCTTGCTGGATGTTCAAGCCCCTCTCCCACAAAACCTCCTTTACCCCCTCCCTCCAACCTTTTCCAGGACGACCACTACCCCTCCTTCCTTTCCCTACAGATTTATACACTCTCTAAGTCATTCTACTTTGATCCATATTCTCTCTAAATGACCAAACCACCTCAACAACCCCTCTTCAGCCCTCTGACTAACACTTTTAGTAACTCCCCACTACCTCCTAATTTCCACAATCCAAATTCTCTGCATAATATTTACATCACAAAATCGCTTGATACCCTCATCACCTTACTCTTATCTACGTACACTTTCAACTTTCTACCTTTACACACCCTCCCAAACTCATCCACTAACCTTTGCAACTTTTCTTTAGAATCTCCCATAAGCACAGTATCATGAGCAAAAAGTAACTCCCAATTTGTATCTGATTCCCCATAATTTAATCCCACCCCTCTCCCCAACACCCTAGCATTGACTTCTTTTACAACCCCATCTATAAATATATTAAACAACCATGAACATAAAAATTATATAAATTAAAATAAAAACGAGAAAAAAAGGTACATCAGCAACACTTCTGCAAGCAGCAGGACTCGATGTTGCTGTCAGGTGAGCATCCAGCACCAACTTCACGGTCTTATATCTCGGTAAGTACTGGTCCTAAAATTTTTTTTGGTCTTGTAACACAGAAAATTCTCCATGGGGAAGTGGAACAGAATTCTTCCTCCATAACCCATGCGTGTCATAAGAGGAGACTAAAATGCCGGAAGCAAGGGACTAGTAACCCCTTCTCCTGTATATATTACTAAATTTAAAAGAAACTTTTGTTTTTCCTTTTGGGCCGCCCCACCTCAGTGGGATACGGCTGGTACGTTGAAAGAAAGAACACAGAAAATTGCCCTCTTTAATTTAAAAAAAAAAAAAAATCAAAATATTCAGAACGTTGCGCAAGTGAACGTAGATCTATGTTCGGACAGCTTAAGCTTTAATTTGAATGTAGTTACTGTGTGTGTCTTATCACATATAATTCTAATTCATTAAACATGTTCTCTGTTAAATTCTATGGTCTGCTTCATGTTATTACTACTAAAATTCATGGGAAAGCACAAATGCAACGATAAAGTGTGTCTGGTACATTCATTAGGCATGCTCGAAAAAATTCTATAGGGCCTTTTGATTCTAAGCTTTGATTGTTCCTACTATAGTGCACTGCCTTTTTTTTTTTTTTAAATATGGCTCTAATAAGTGGGAAGTACAATGCCTGCACTGACATTATTTATACAATTATTACCATTATGCAGTAGTCTGAATAACAGAAAATATTCTATTTTTTTTTTTTGTGACTAAAAATTAAAAAATGACAAAGAAGCATAATATAAGAGGGGCCTAGAGATGTGACTAATGAACAGAGAAAATGTTATTTTAGTGCCAGGAATATCACCATTATTTATTTCAAACTGGCCTTTCTTGAATTTTGTGTGAAATTGGCCAAATTGGTCTAATCACTTTATTGGGTAGTTGAAATAGGTAAATGGGCAATTTCTTGTACTCAATCAATAGAACAAAAGGAGTGGTAGTGAAATAGCTATGAATATAATCGACTGGAACAATGGAATTGGCCCAAAATAGGGCTTTCATAATAATGAAAAGCTGGAACTATCTGTGCATATAAAATGAAAAACCTGGTTTTTATTTTTATTTACCTTTCTCTGAGCTTCCTTCAAATCATGTTGTAACAATGCAAGTTTTCTGTCAAGATCTCTTCTCTCCTGCTGTCTCTCCAAATCCTTCCTTGTCAGGACATCCAACTGGCATAATGTTATTTGGTACTTTGTGTCGAGCTCCTCTACTTGACTTCTCTGATGCTCTACTTCAGCGCTCAGAACAGCAATCTGATTACTCGCATCTGTCCCATCATTTGTCTGCATGTGCAAAGTGAATTATTAGAGAATATTTACTAAAAAATAACTTACAGCACTCAAAAGAGCATGGTAAAAAAAACTTTGATTGTGGCATGACAACATTAAATTTTAAATATGCTATGTACAGTACTTTACCTAAGAATTAAGAAAATACATCATTTGTTATAATCTCTCAATTTTAAAAGAAGTTGAATACACCCAAACATTCAGAAACAAAGTTCTCTCATTAGGAGAAAAAAAGGTAACAGCTTCATACTGGCAGAGTATTTCATTACAGTATTACAATAAGAAACACTTAACAGTTAAGATGCAGACCTTTTTAACAAGCTATAGAAAAAAATATAAAGCTAGATATAAAACAGAGAAAAGGGAAGAAAATAGTCTAAGTGCTCATTTGTTTCTGAGGATTTTCAGAGCACAAAAAGTGCTAGTTCTCACTCACACTTTCACACACACACATGCACTCACACAGTGTTTATCAATATGCTTGGCTAAGACTGACAATAAGGGTGTTGGTAATTTAAAGTGATTTAACCATACGAGTTGCTGTGTGACCAAGAGCCAAGCTATTCAGAGAGGCCACCATTCAAACAGCTGCATTTATCTGACTGCCCAAATGATCCACTTATCATGCTCATGGGAAAGAGATTAGAATCGTTTCCTCATAATGTCCATCAGGGAAGATTGCTAGAATATCTTGGGTAAGAAGGCAGTTACTTCTTTCTCTAATATTAATAACCATAAAGAAAAGGATAGCAAGTTGTTAAACAGTAATCATCCATGTAGGTAACAGGTTAGGGTATGTTAAGTAGGTTTACCAGGAAACAGGACAAGTATTTCCTGATGCGGGTCTTAGTCATAAGATGACCAGCAGCTGGAGCTTTTGACCATCTGACTGAGGCCTTCTGCTGGCTTACTGGTAGAACTCTTTAAAAATTATGGCTATGGATATAACCATTTTTTTAATGTACTTCCATCCTGTCATATGAGGGTGATGCTGAAGCCTGTTTAATGTTTTTCACTCTTGGGAGAATTACTATTTTTTCTTGTTTTACAAACATAAAAAAACAACGTAACTCTCACATTTACTTACCCTCACTATACACTTAGCCTTGCCTCCATATGTATTCCCAATAGTTCTTATTCTTGTAGTGTTTCCGTAACACTTCCCTAGGGAAAATAATTAGAAATCTTACCCTCTCTCCTATCATAACTAAGCATGTTGAAGAAGGCAACTAAAATTCCAGAAGCAAGAGGTTGGTAGACCATTTCCTGTATTCAATTACTACCAGGAAAAAAGAGGAAAGTTTTAAAGTTGGGTTAAGTGAGGGGGATGTACTAGAGAAGTTAAGAAAATAGTGTCTTAACCCTTTCAGTGGTCATCACAAAGAACTACATCGTTGAAGCCAGGGTCCCTCACGGAGTTCGAAGCCCGGGTCCTTCATGTAGTTCTACATCATGAGCTTAGCTCACTCAGGTAAGTTACGAGTAGTAAATTATGGCCTAGATATGAGACAATGGGTCTGTGTGGAGTGCATGCACAGTACAAAAAAAAAAAATCCTGCCCCACGTAGTGAATGACCATGTGTTTGGTTTAAAATAGCGACTCTAAGGTGCTTTCTCAGATAGTTTTTAGGGATTTACTGGCTGTTTCTTGGTATCACTTGATAAAATGGAAGATATACTACTGAAACAGAGATCATTTTAATTAGTTTCAGGACCAGAAGTAGCTTGTAATTGGGCTCAAAGTAGAAGTATGTATTTGATTTTTATCGATTTTGTCGATTTTATCGACAGGTACATATTATGAACGCCATAAACTATGACCAATCATTCATGGTTTTAAATAATTATCCAATAGAATAAATCTTCCATTTTTGTGCTATGATGAATTCAAAATGGAAGGCAAGTATAATATATGAGAGGTGTGGGGTTGTGAATAATTATCAGAGAAAATATTTTAAGTGCCAGGAATGTCAACATTGTTTATTGTGGAAATTCAAAATTGGTATTTTTTTTAATTTTGAGTAAAATTTGGAAAATTACAGACTTCTGTGCACATTATAGGATAGTTGTAATAGTTGAATGGGCAGTTTATTGTGCTCAATCCATAGAATGGGGGTATACTAGCAAAATAGATGAAAATTTAGTCAAATGGTGCAATGGAATTGTCTTAAAATAGGGCTCAAATTTGGTGACATTGCCAATGTGAAAATTGTATACTAGACCACAAACTTTGCGTCTGTGTAATTCCATGACTTTTCCAATTAATTTCGTACTTTTGGTGTCATTACTTTCAAAAAAAAAAAAAATTCTCTAATATTTCAATTTTTTTTTTAAGTGGACACCAAGAGCAAGATTAACTTCAGGGGTCTGGACAGTGAAAGGGGTCATGAAAATAAATGTCTTAGCAATCAGAAATAAAAAAAGTAGAATGTAGTTTATTATCTGAATGTATAATACATGGGATTAAGTCAAATAGCCGGGAGAACAAGAGCTAAAAATAGAAATATTGGTAATGTAATACAACAATTATAAAAGGTGAGTGGGGGTATAAATACATATACATATATGCCATAATATGAATGTGACATTAGGCAGTTGAAGGTTAGAATATAGAGAGATACTGGAAAGTTTCAACCGAATGCTTAGGTAATTTTAAGCCAGTCGAGAGAATAATTATTAGGGCAAAACCATAATCCTAAAATGGGAGACACTTACTGAGGGTGTGGTAAGAATATTTGGACTGCTATATGGAAATGACAATGGGGAAACTTGTAATTTAATTGCATTTACAAAAGGGTTTGGTAATAAGCAGCAAACATAAAAATAAATAAATATACCAGGTAAAGTGTATATGTAGTAAAATTATTATTCAAAGTTAGGGGTAAAACAAAGTAGGATTGCAGAGCAACAAGGAGGATTTAAGAACTTCGATAGATGTGAAGTACAAGTGCTCAAATTGAAAGAGACAAGTGAATACATATTCTTAAGAGAGGGGAGAGGAATTATTTGTTGCATTTATGGATTTAGAAAAGTTGTGTGTGATAGGGTAGATATGGCAGCAATGTGATGAATGGTGTAAATATACAGAATAGATGGTAGGTTTCTAAAATCAGAAAAAAAGTTTTTATGTAGAATGAAGTTCAAGTCAGAGTATGTAGGAGAAAAGGGAGTAAAAGTCTTAGTGATATGTGATGTTACCCTGATTGTTCAACATATTTATAGATGAAGTGAATGCTAGGGTGATGGGAAAAGATGTGGAATTAAGAGAATGAATGTTACAAAGTGGGAGTTGTCACAGTTGCTCTTTGCCAATGACAGTTCTTCTGGAGGATTCTCAAGTTGCAAGGGTTGGAAGATGAATTTGGGAGAGTGTATCAAAGAAGGAAATTAAAAGTGAACACACACAATAGTCCTAGGTATCAAGTTGGTAGACAGCAACTGCCTAGGGAGGTACTACCATCCTGCCAAGTTAGTGTAAAATGGAAACCTGTACAGTGGAACCCCAGTTAACGGCCAATGCGGATATCGGCCAAATCAGATTTTGGGTGCTTTTTCTGGCTGAAATTCTTTCCTGGATTTCAGCCAGCAACTTGGAAATTGGTCGTACTGGACGCATCCGCCCACCACTCCCATGTTCGCGAGTCAGTCTGGTTGTCTCTGGGTGAGTGAGCAACATTCCGCACATTCATCCAAATATTTTGTTATAATGGATGAGGCCTGGTCACAGACTGGGCCGCGGGGGCGTTGGCCCCCGGAACTCTCTCCAGGTAAACTCCAGGTAATTCACTGTTTTTTGTGGTTGTTTATCAAGTGCGACTGCAAAATAAGCCACCATGGACCCAAAGAAAACTCCTAGGGGAGAATGTGTCTTCTTCAGTGATTCAGTTTTTTTACGATATGTATGATACTAAAGCAGTAGGAGTTGATAAAGGCTATAGCACCAGCTAGCGATAAACAGTGTAGTAAGTAAGTTAAGCGATTAAGCGATAGAAATAGGATGACACAAAACTAAACTCTTCCAATGTTGTTGGAGGTGTATAGGGCCACTGACAACATATGCCGTCCTGCGTATCTTCCACCACCCTAAGCCTCTGCCAGCATCTCAATAACCACTTTATTTCTTTACATTCTCTATTATGTTTTTATGCAGTATTTCTTATTTATAAATTATGTACATTGTTTCAGTGTGACTAGTGGTGGTGGCCGCTGCTGCCGCCAACACCACCACTATACGGCTCATGCTGTCAGTGGCCCTGATAAACCCACCACCACTAGTCACATACGTAATGACACGTTTTATTCCTTCTAGTATACATCATGTTTCTATGTTAATACATATGTTTATTATGTCATATTAGATGAATTGTGATAATTAAATATTTTTGGGTGTCTGTAATGGATTAATTGTATTTACATTAATTCTTATGGGAAACATTACTTCGGTTTTCAGCCTTTTCGGATTTAGGCTTACCTTCTGGAACAGACTACAGCCAAAATCCGGGGTTCCACTGTGATTGTTTTACATAATGGTAGGATTGCTGGCGTCTTTTTCTGTCTCATAAACATGCAAGATTTTAGGTACGTCTTGCTACTTCTACTTACTCTTAGGTCATACTACACATGCATGTACAGTAGACAGTCATTTAACACGAGTTTATTTGGCACAATTTGAGTATAGCACGATTGAAGAATTGCTACACATTTTTATTTAACACGTCGTATGATCAATTTAACATGATTCGCAGGAGGGGAAAAAATTTTGAGCGCGTGGTCGCCCGGTTGCCAGCAGTGGGTTATACCATTGAGTCAATGGGGGAGGCCTACTGCCATCCCCACCCCCACCATGCTCTCAGCCTCCAGTTTGGTTCATACACGTGCAGGACGAAGATACTTGGGAACCTAGCTGTATTTATTTACATACATATTTTCTTATTTTCATTGCCATTTGTTAAATCTGCCAAGCAATCATGGCACCCAGTAAGCATACAAGTGTT